AGATAGCGTGAACTGTCGTAAACTGACTTATCCTTAACGGGTGATACTCGTTAAATATCTGTTCCATATATTGTCCAACTCGGCGCGCGTCCTGGTAGGTTGTAAACCTACAAACTTATCCCGCTATCCAGCGCTTGATGTCGCCTGCGTCAGATGTCGTCGCGACAGATGTCGTCAGATGACGTCAGATATCGCTAGATGGCGTCAGATAGCGTCAGATGTCGCGGCAACATATGACGCTAGATGACGCTAGATGTCGTCCCTAGAATTTTTATGAAAATAGCGCTATCTGTCGCCTGGCGTCAGTGCTGCGTGCTTAGCGTCATCTAGCGTCATCTAGCGTCATATAGCGTCATATAGCGTCATATAGCGTCATATAGCGCTAGATAGCGCTAGATAGCGCTAGATAGCGCTAGATAGCGCTAGATAGCGCTAGATAGCGACATTCGAAAGGTGCCGTGCACTTAGCGACAATGTCGCTAATTGGCGTCATCTAGCGTCATCTAGCGTCATATAGCGTCATATAGCGTCATATAGCGTCATATAGCGCTAGATAGCGCTAGATAGCGCTAGATAGCGCTAGATAGCGCTAGATAGCGCTAGATAGCGACATTCGAAAGGTGCCGTGCACTTAGCGACAATGTCGCTAATTGGCGTCATCTAGCGTCATCTAGCGTCATATAGCGTCATATAGCGTCATATAGCGTCATATAGCGCTAGATAGCGCTAGATAGCGCTAGATAGCGCTAGATAGCGCTAGATAGCGCTAGATAGCGACATTCGAAAGGTGCCGTGCACTTAGCGACAATGTCGCTAATTGGCGTCATCTAGCGTCATCTAGCGTCATCTATCATCATCTGGCGATATTTCACGCTAGATGACGCTAGATGACGCTAGATGACGCTAGATGACGTCATATGTCGAATTTTAACTATCAGTAAAGGTCCACATTTTTAAGGAAGTTTGCATGATATGAAAGGATTTCTGTTTAGCCGCGGTAAATCAGGATTTTATTTTTGTACAGTCACAAAGCTGTGTTGTTTTATTATCATAAAATAGTGAGTTAGAAGAAAAAAGTATTCCACTACGGATTTATTAGACACAGCTTGATAAAGACACACTTTCAACTTTACGAAATCTTAATCACTTTAATGTTTAATTTAATTTTAATCGCGTTAAGCAGAATAGAAAAATTGTCCAACCGTATCATAGATATTGACATTTGACAAGCATTTCATTTGCCAAACGTCAGGATATAATTATATGTCTAGATATTCGTGATTGCTATGGTCGCTCCTGAATTTACAGAAATATAATATGATTGCATTGTAGGTTTATAACTTACCGACACGAGCACCGAGCTGACTCTTTGGTCTCGTTGCCAGTTAGGGGTTGTTCAAACATATTATGTTATCAGCAGAGGGGGAGGGGGTTTCCAAATGACTATCAATTACGCGCTAGTGTAACTTTGACACAATGTAAATAGCTATGTGTAAAACCGATTACGGAGGGGGGAGGGGCTCGAGCTTTTGCTAAATCGCTCGCCCAAATCATGCCTATAATGGGGAGGTTAAAAATTGTTCAAAAAGTGATTAGGGGTCGTTACTTACTTCGTTACTTCGTTGAATTCATCCGTGGAGCCGGGTCATCAGATATCTGACCACCTGGATGGCGAGTAGTCGACCAGTGAGTTTGACCAACTGCAGCTGTAGCCGGCGACCGGAGGGTTGTCCGGTATCAAAGCAAGAAAGTTCGACAAACTACACTTAAACATGTCAAAGGATGAATCAGCCTTTACTGTGTGAGGCACTTTGTTCCACAGCTTTGGTCCTTGAACTGCAAAAGACCTGTCGTACAGTGACTGGTTGCTTAAGGAACTTGACTTTGACAATGAGGGTATGACAGCTACATCCCCGTGTTTTGGGGTCACCTTGAACTTGATATCACAACAGTTTGGTACCACATTATGGAGAATCTTCCACATCATCAGGATGATATACCTCTCCCGTCTGCGCTGTAGAGACATCAATTTAAGCTGTACGAGTCTTTCCCAATAGTTGAGATGTTGAAGACCGCCAATACGACTGGTGAAAGTTCTTTGCACCCCCTCTATCAGCTGTATTTCAGTCACCTTGGTAGGGCTCCAGAGTGGGCAGCAATACTCTAGTAAGCTTCTTACTAGTGACTTGTAGAGAGTAGTCATTACGGTCTTGTCGCGAGTTTTGAACACACTGAATACCCAAGATAGCGTGCTCCTTGCTTTGGGTACCATGTTGCCGATGTGTGTCGACCAGCTAAGATCACTTGAAACCATAACTCCAAGATCTCGGACGTTTTCGACAGGATAAAGTATGTCCTGACTGGATACTTTGTAACGAAGTGTTTCGGCAAAGAAGGGTAGTTCGGGGAATGAGCTCTTACTGTTATGAAGGTGATTTAACAGCTCGAACTTCTGCTCGTGAAGCTTCATGTTATTGTTGTTGCTACGTGACCAGTCAAGAATCTTATAGATATCTTCTTGTAACAACTGACAGTCTTCAAAACAGCCAATCTGTTTGGAGACTCTAGTATCATCGGCGAAAAAACTCACCCTAGATGAGTCCACTACTTGTTCTAGATCATTGATGAACAAGATAAAGAGAAGCGGCCCCAAAACGCTTCCCTGGGGAACACCACTTAAAACCTTTGCGATAACCGAGTGAACCCCATTAAGCACCACGACTTGTTCGCGATCAAAGAGAAAGGAATTTATCCACTCTATGAGCTTGCCATGAAACCCATATTTTTTCAGCTTGTGGATGAGAAGATTCAAGTCGACTTTATCGAACGCCTTAGCGTAATCCAGATATATAGAATCTGTATCTTCACCACGAGTAAACCCTTCGTAGATGTCGTCAAAATGGCCGAGCATTTGAGTCAAGCAGCTCCTATTCGCTCTGAAACCATGCTGCTTATCGGTCAAGAGACTGTTGGCTTCCAAATACTCCACCATATGTTTCCTTACCACTCTTTCATACACTTTTACAACGTGGGAGGTCAAAGTGACAGGTCTGTAGTTTCCAGCTTCACATCTACTGCCTTTCTTGAATAGTGGCGAAACATAACCCGTCTTGTAGAAGCTTGGTACTATACCAGATGACATGGACTCTGACCACATAAGATAAATCGGGACACTAAGGCTGGTAGCACACCTTTTGAGAAGAATAGCTGGCATTCCATCGGGTCCAGGGGCAGAGTCTAGCTTGATTTCAGATATAGCTTTCATGATACTATCAGGTGTTAACACAATGTCATTGTCTCTACTGATAAGGGGTGGTACCGCAAATGTAGGGACTGCTGTGTCGGGACAGTTAGGGTCGCTGAAAACGGAGCAGAACTGTTGTTGAAGGATGTTGGCGAGTTCTTTCCGTTCAGTGACTAGTTCCTTATTGCCGTTCAGGAGGGTAGAGATGTTGTGTTTCACTTTGGAGAATGATTTGGCATAGGAGAAGAAATATTTGGGGTTACTTTTGATCCGCTCCACCGCTCTCCTCTCACCTTGGTCGAGATGGTTGACTATGGCCTCCTTTATCTCATAGCACACCAGCCCGATCTCGTCTTCAAGTTTCTTAATTCGGGCATTGTCACCGGCGCACCTTGCTGCGGAGAGACGAGTTTTAAGCTAGAGCTTAGACTTCCGTCTTCTGAGAGAGTTGTAGAGCTTAGGCTTGCCTGTTGGAGGTCGTTTCTTGGGAATGTTCGATATGCACGTGTTTAGTACTTTATCCGTGAACTTGGCAGGAAATTCCTCGAACGTACCAGCATCTCTCAGTTCATCCCAATCAATAGCTTCAAAAACCTTATTTAGTCGGGGAAAATCAGCTTGATTGAAATCTAATGCTCGAAAGTTCATTTCGTCAAGATATGTAGCATGGGCCTCCTCCATCACACCAGGGTTGAAGGAGAGTAGGACGCTGACCATATCGTGATCAGATATATCGGTTGCTTCAGTTTTAACATCCGATATCAGTCGGTCATTGTTACAGAAAACCAGGTCCAAAATGTTGTTTCCTCTGGTAGGCACGTTGACCATTTGACTGAGAAGGTAGGTTGACATAAAGTTTAACAAGCGTTGGGCCGATAAATTTGATTCTGATGTCCCACCGCTGTGGATCTGAAGCGATCCCCAGTCAACCTGAGGTAAATTGAAATCACCTGTTATGAACAACTCGTAATCGTTGTCAAGGTTTTCGATAGCGTGCCCCAAGTGATCCAAAAGCTTTGAGAAGCTTGATAGGCTCGCATCAGGGGGTCTGTAGATGACTGCCACCAATAGCTTTGCAGATGGGTAAACATTGCACAGCCCCTGACAAGTACCGTCGTCGTAAAACTCTGAAGCTGACACTGGGAGAGACGACAATGAGTAGAGAAGAACACCTCCTCCACTCCTTTTGCTACGATCACATCTTGAAACTGAGTAGCCCGGTATCTGGAGTTGAGCGTCACTGAAGTATGACTTTAACCAGGACTCCGTAATCGCGATGAAGGGGAACAAGTGCCCTGACTCTCGTTATTATATTACGTAATCACTTTTTGGACAAGAGATTTTATGATTTAGAGATGCTAGTTATATATGTAAATGTACATCACCTCAAAATAACCTAGTATTTCAGTGACACGAGAAAATAATGACATAAGTCTTGAAAATATCCAGAAAAGTGAAAGTCGTCTTACGGGTAGGGGATGGTAAAGAATAACATTTCTTTATAATTTGATTGTGCTGCGGATAGAAAAATCAAAGAGGCACGATCGATCCTAGCTCTGAAAAACCAGATCTTAATGGCCGGGACTAACAAGTTGAACTGAGAAAGTTTCCTTCTTGTCTTCAACATTGTGTCGTTAAAGTTATTATTAAGCCTAGCATACGAAGAAAATATAGACGTTTTAGGCTGTTTGGAATACTATCATTTTTTTATAAATAGCTCACTTACAATTCAATTTTAACGATCATTAAATCTCAACTTTAATCTGTTTACACAAAATTAATTATACACAGGTAAAAGCAACCTCGAAAAAAATGGCAATTTCAAACTTATGATCAGCAAATTAAAGAAGTAGCTTAAGAAAGATAAAAATGTTTGCCCATAAATCGGAAAATACAATTTAACACTTATCCATGCACTGTGTTAAAAGCACAATGATGGCTTTTTGAAATGCGCATCTGCTTAAAGATGGCTGCTGTGCGTATGTGAACCATCAAAAAAGAAACCTTTTTAAGAAAACGGACGCCATTGCAATTTGCAGCAATCATAGCTGAGTGCAGGGGTGGTTATTCATCACAAATTCAAAACTTTGAGGACCATACAAATTATATTAAAAAAGCTTAAACAAAATGGATAAATGTGTCAGTTCTCAGCTCAATAACCGATACAAAAGCTGCTACAGGTTCTATACATTTAAAATTATTTTAATAATACTTCTGTTGTTTGTTCAAAAAAGCTTATTAGCTTGTTAATCTACACTGTAACCAAGGCATTTAAAACAATCATATTATAAATGAATTGCTCAATTATTTACATTTTTGTTATTTTAACATAAACACACACGTAAACACGTTATAGTAGACCGCAATTAAACAATTTTAACTGTTTACTAAGTAGTAAGCTACTTTCGTAAGTAATAATAAGGATATGTTATGTTTTGGTTTGGAAGGTGTACAACTTCATAGAAGAAATACAGGGAAGAACCCCAAGCCGATTTAAGTTCATCAGTCTACGATCTCAACCCTTCAAACAAAATAAACATAATATAAAAAGGCTGGAAAAGTCATTGAAAAATAGTAAATTAATCACACTAAGCAACAACGTTATTTAAATTGTCGCTATCTAACGAAGATTCAGCGTATGGCTCTGGAGATTCTTCGCCGTTCAGTAGGGCCCGTCTGTCTTCGGTAGTCACTTCTGGATTCGAGCTGTGACTGAAATTAAGGGATTTATTAGAATGTCATCGACTTGTCAATTGTGTCATGAGGTAGATTACATTTTGAGAAAATCAAAATGTTGAACACACATTTCAGGGCTACTTATAAATTGAGGCTACTCAAAATGAGGTTTAAGTGATAAGGACAAACAATGAGAAGTGTTATAATACCTGTTACCATGCCGCAATTCCTCGTATACAAAACCACAGAAGCCGCAGAAAACACAACCTGCTCCGATCAGAGCAGGCCATGGCATCAGGAAGTGGTGAAGGAGGAGATCTGCCACCATGCTGGCCGGCAACGCCAGCGACTGACCAACACTGAGGGCATTAAATAAAGTTATTTACGACACCTAGTTTAACAAATCTGCGATAACGTAACACGAAATCTCGTGCCCACGTTGCTGAAAAGCAGTTATAGAGCTGCGCGCGTCACGCAACCTGCAAATAAAAGTGCGACGGATTGTGACTCATTTTTTTGCCACCTTTACCATTGCGTCACGTGTACACAGACAGCTATACTGTAGCTATACAGTTTATTACAGAACACAATACACCATGTACAGTAATTGTATAATGTATAATACAGCGAGGCTGAGCTATGCGACATTCAATTACACTGGGTTTGTATATTGAGGGTCGCTATCTCTTGAAACTTGGTGAAATGTCCTTTAATGTACCTAGCAAGGGTCGGGTTAGACAGGGCTATTGCCAGCAGTAGGAGGATATTGAAGATAGCATCGACTACGAGACAGATGAAAAATAGGTATACTTTATCCGCTGGAGGCAGCATCAGCGTCTCCCATCCAGTAAAATGCCAGATTGGTAACGCCAGTCTGAAAAGGAGAAGTTATAGAATTTCTCAACCTATAAATTACTTTTGATTTGAACACACAATTAGATGATGAAACTTTGGAAAATACTTACTTATTTTGTGATCTTGTTAAAAGTATTTTAATCGTGCATTGATAAAACTAACCCGAAAATAACTGGAGTAGTGACACCCAAATAGCCCACAAGTTGCAGAGATGTCATGGCAGGGTGCTGAAATTATTACAGTACAGATAAAGTATAACAGCTTGATCGTAAGTGTTTGTTGAGAATCACAAAAAAGCATGTAATCTGAAACTAGCGAATATCCCCCCCCCCCCTTAATAGTATAGAGCTAAATACTAAATAGTGTACCTTATCTTGATCCGTCTGCAGCAGATATCCGTAGAATACCTCGTAACTAGCGTACATGAACATCGATATCAGCACCAACTGCAAACAATAAATATTCATTCTTGATAAATATTCCTCTAAAATACCCAATCTTTTACAGATTAACATTTTAAATTTATATACTTTTGCTTTGACGATACTCTGCAAAGATTAAAATAGTGTTTTTAAGTCTTAACTTCACAGCTAGACAACAAAACAAAAAAAGAGAGCCTATTAAAAGATGTTGATTTACACAAGTATTGAAGACGATTTACACAAGTATTTTGAAAGCTCCTGCTAATACAATCCTTTCGTATCACTTATATGTTTTAAATATCCCCCTCCAGGTATTAAAAGAAGTACTCACAACATATCCCAGTACAGATCCCTTGTTTGTGTCTGGAGAATGTACATCCAGTAAGTTATCAGTAAAGGTAGTAGTGGGTTTAATGTCAGCTGCGTGTGGGGCAGAGAATATGGAGACAAGTAATATACCTGTACAGCATATCAGTAGCGACATCACCTGGAAAACTATGTTGTTAATAAAGTAGCTCTCAATTTTATAACCAATCTTTAAGAGCTATCATCTAAAGAAGTTTCATAACACACGCTGTCTAATAAACTGAGGCCCGATATACTATCACCATTAAATTTTACGGAGCTGTGTCGTGCTCGGTGCTTTTTTACTAGCATAATGTATGATTTTATCTAATTGTCTACCAACCGGAAACAGACAAATTGATTGTTGAGTCACGTTTTGGAGCGACCCTGTAATCCGAGGAGATTCCCCCATCACGTACAGATAGATAATTACAGACAATTAAATCACAGGTTATACCAGTAATCACTGGCTAGACCGCCTGTTGTAACTTCTACGTTTCTACTCACCTTAATTATTGTTATCTTCTCTCGGAGCACCGGGATAGAGATAATGAATACCGCGGCACATGCGCACATGTAGATAGCGGTGTTTGCTGATACGCTGAAATTATGAGCATATTCATTGCTATTGTCGGGTAAAATCGGGGATAAAGTTAATTAAATATTTGGTGTTATCGTCTGGGAAAATTTGAAGCTTGTTCGATATATATCCTCGTGATTTTATCATACGTGATATGCTACAAGCCTGCTCTAAATATTTCAATAAGTGACCACTTTTAGATAAGAGTCAGATATGTTGGATATGATTAGATTTATATTCAAGGGCATTACCAAATACCAAATGAGACTTATCTGTATTCTACCGGCATTGTAATCATGAAAAGCCTGCTAAATTTACAATTTCACCAAGTACAAACACTAAGTTACACCTCCAATATTGTTGAAATTTAATCGAATCTCGTAGGACCCTGTATTTCCTGCTTATCTGGTAATTCAAGACACGAGACACAAATTCCTATCGTATGAGGGAAATAAGTGTGCTAAAATTTCAACTGGTATTACCAGTTTTATGATACCTAAATATATCGCAAATAAAATCCAGGACAGAATATTGTATCATGTTAAATTACATTGAAAAAATAAACGGTTTGATCTTTCTGAACTATGCTTCTTATACTGGTATAGTATTGTTATCTATTTTTACCTATTGTTAGCTTTTTATCCCTGCTAATTAATAACGATTTTGGGTACTATACCGGGCCATCCTGATTACCTTGCTATGGGCCGTTTCCATGGCTCAAGCAGGTCTAGTTTACCCATATACATTGGATAAATATTATGATCCAACCAAAAATAAGAATTTGGAATATCTCTTTACTTGTGCTATTGAATATCACATTGAAGTAGCGTATTGGTTTACATTTTGAAAATGTCATATAATATGTAATTTTCTTGTTTCCCTTTTGGTTTTGTTATGTAAGTGCTGAGAAAGTTCTGAATTCTGAAAAGAAGCAGAACAAATCCGATAAAATATGGTTACAGAATCTTCTTTAGGCTCAATATTCTTATATGTTTCATGTAGGGACAGATAAACTTCAACGTCATTATCCGGTTGAAATATTAGGCTGAATGATTTAGTGTTTAACAAAGTCATGATAAGCTGTCTCTCTCTGTTCTGGTCAACGGTTTCCTACTTTATGATAAGCATGATAAGCACTTTCTCTACCATACAGCATGTTATTTAGTACCACGTTCAAGTACTACGTGTGATTAATCTTATCTTATGGGTGCACGTTTTCACAAATAATTAGTACTAGACGTATCATTTGGTCGAGACTTGAGTCGAAACGACTTGATTAGGAATTAGACTCGTTGAGGTATGAAATCATCAAATACTTCAGCACTGAAAAAAGCATCTACAGCCGCCCTTATTTTTCACAAATTATAAGATCTAATTTAAAAAAGATAAGAAACAGTAATTGTACATAGAGTAAAGAATTTCTTTTCCCGAGTACCGGCCTTCTTCCAGTCAAGAGTCACGACTCATGCAATGCTTTTATTTGTAACGGAATTTCAGGTTCATATTTCAACTTGAGCAGAGAGCAATACCCTTAGTCCTTACATTACAGTCTACCAGATGTTCGGAGAGTTGTTAAAGAAAATCTTACAAAAACATCCATTCTATGATAATATGGATTAACAACATTTTATGATGTGGATTGTGGATAAACAACATTTTATGATGTGGATAAACAACAATCCAAGATGTGGATAAACAACATTCTATGATGTGTTCATACCTGGTGTTCATATTTCAAGCTGTAAAACTTGGAATACTCTCACCCTGCATTCCTCAACTTGATATACGAGCAGTTGTAGTATCAAAGTCTGTAAACACATCAGTTATTACTATCATAAAAAACAGTAACAAGCCCTTAGCCCACCCATGTACTTAGCCTTTCTGTTAGATCCCAATTGTCTAACCAGATTTTGATAATGATGGCTCGAGACAAATGAATTATGTAAGATGCTCTAATAGCCATAATTCTATGATAAAAATACAGTAAAACCCCGATATACGGCACCCCGATTTACCGCGGATGTTTCCTTTCCCCCAAACTCCGCGGTAGATCAGAGTTTTACTGTACTTCTCTACAGAAAACTCTCTCTCTCTCTCTCTACAAACCTAGTGATAGGGAGGCTCATGTACCACGTGTACCCGGATATGTATCCCAGTACATTCAGTACACACGCACGTGTGAACATGTAGCCTTTAGAGAAGGGTTCCTGATCGTGCCGACCCTGTCCTCCTAGTGGAGTGTACCTGAAGTAGTAGGAGGAGTGAGTACTAGTGTCCTCCTAGTGGAGTGTACCTGAAGTAGTAGGAGGAGTGAGCACTAGTGGAGTGTACCTGAAGTAGGAGGAGGAGTGAGTACTAGTGAAATAGATATTTGGGAGTGTTATAGTACACTCTGTTGGTTTCCTGGAATTTGACAGATATTCTACAAGGAATCGTGCTCTGTTGGATCTTGAGCCACTTTTAAGAGACACGTTTGAATTAAATTGTCAATAGTTGTCACTCACACACGTCTCACTCATGATATTGTACTTTAAAGATGTTAACCCTCAACGAATTTAGGGTTTACACAAAGACAGATACCCCGAGCGAGCGCTTTGTGTTACTTGGCTTTGCCTTACAAAGTACAGAATAGAGATGTACATGTGTCAGAGTATTATATAATACTCTTTAAACTATAAAACTATCTAAGGCTGTAAAGCCGAAGAAGAGCTTTACATGTGTGTGAGAGATAAGATTGTAAGATTGTAAAACATAATATATTACCATAATTAGTTATAATATACCATAATTAATTAGAGTAGAAACTTAAGGGGACATACACCAAAACCTTTTTTGCCGGGACCCGCGATTTGACTTCATATTATAACGGCATATTATGAAAGTAAAGATAAAAACAATAAGATTTGATACAGTGAAAATTTTAATGTATACCATACCCTGTATTTTATTCTGATAAGACAAATACAGACAGTTTGAACTTTAAGTCAAGGCAGCTAATTCCTTTATAAAAACCGGTTTTTCTTGTTTTATGAGTTAGTGTCTACAGCCTGAGCAAGTATGTGCGAAGTTATTCGGTATGTTAATATAGAATTGATTCAGCTGGCAGCAGCTTATCTTTAAAAGAAATTTCAGCGAGATTTTATGCTATAATATATCATTTATAATATTACAACGAATTTTAAGAGTTTGGTAATAAGAAATGCCAACTTACTTCCACACTACGTAGGGTATAAAAGATATCATGTAAGTCGTTCGTATACAGAAACACAGAAACATGGGCTGAAATAAAGATAACAAATTCAGCAGCTAATCAAATATTGTTAATTGTAAACGAATATTAATCAAAAGATAGGCATATAATTCCTTAAAGCTCAATTTGCGTTAATCGAATAATCAGGAAATTTTAAAGAAGTCAGCAGGATATTGCTATGATGAATTAAAGAATTAACGAGAAGTTGTAACGATGTTAAATATTTGTAGATCTGGGGAATGTAAAATATTTGTAGATCTGGGAAATGTAAAATATTTGTAGATCTGGGAAATGTAAAATATTTGTAGATCTGGGGGATGTGAGATATTTGTAGATCTAGGGGATGTAAAATATTTGTAAATCTGGGGAATGCATGTAAAATATTTGTAGATCTGGGGGATGTGAGATATTTGTAGATCTAGGGGATGTAAAATATTTGTAAATCTGGGGAATGCATGTAAAATATTTGTAGATCTGGGGAATGTAAAATATTTGTGGATCTGGGGGATGTTAAATATTTGTAGATCTGGGAAATGTAAAATACTTGTGGATCCGGGGGATGTAAAATATTTGTGGATCTGGGGGATGTAAGATATTTGTAGATCTGGGGGATGTAAAATATTTGTAGATCTGGGGAATATAAAATATTTGTGGATCTGGGGGATGTTAAATATTTGTAGATCTGGGAAATGTAAAATACTTGTGGATCTGGGGGATGTAAGATATTTGTAGATCTGGAGAATGTAAAATATTTGTAGATCTGGAGAATATAAAATATTTGTAGATCTGGAGAATGTAAAATATTTGTAGATCTGGGGAATGTAAAATATTTGTAGATCGGGGAATTTTACCTTGCTATACGATTCCCCGTGTTCATCGGGTTCCTGTAACTTCTGTATTATTTCAGCTAATACCACCCCTGAAAGGAACAGTATTTTTAAGAGGTGTATAATTTATGAACCAAACTTCTAGCAATCTACAAAATTAGTATCTTGGGAATAACAAGTAGTGAATATCGATAGAATTTTCTCAATATATGTTTAAGAAAACTAGATAGAGAAAGTATACTTACAATCTACTACAGCAAGACCAACACAAAGTAACGCACAGCATCGTGAGAGTAACATTGCTTTTCTTGTGCTGAAAATAAATCAAATATTAGTTTAAAAACTCCAGATTTTAAGCAGACTAGATTAACTTAACACAGTTACAATTGTGCAACCTTAATTAAATTGGAATGATCTTGTAAGATTTCCAGCAGCTTGTAAGCTATGATAATTATACAATTTAACTTGAATCAGAAGACTGACCTGTCCCCCTCGTTTGGCACGCCGTTTGGTTCGATATCTTTTCTGACAGTGTTTATGGAATGATATCCTTCTTCCATGACTTTTCTGTCACTGTAACGACAGTTCAAAAAGTTAGTTAAAAAACAAAATTTCCGTCCTTTTGATTGAAACCAACTATCATAACAAAATCATGCAGAATAAAAGCTTCAAAATTCTGTTTTAATGATAAATTAGCGATGATTGGTTTTAGAGTAAGTTAAAGTTAAGCCAAAATCTTCAATAAACTTAAATCATATCTGTTCAACATGCCATACATAAAGAGTAACATTAGGCTACACAAAAATATTGCTCAGGCTTTCATGCTAACGTATAGGCTTATTTTCGGGTATATGAACTGTAGTTCGAAAGGCACTGAGGTTCGACAAGAAAATTGAGCTTGTCCAACTATTGACAAATACATACTGCGAGCGAAGCAAGCAAAGCATTAGGCCCCTCTTGATTAGACAAAGAAAACCCGCAATATTTGTTAACAAAACGTGTCTTGACTCGTGGCTACAGTAAAACTAAGGCCCTTACACTGACTCCCTGAACTGAGACATAAAAACAGCCTCCAGGGACTGTCTTTATGTATCAGGAGTTGAACTGCCTTGTTTCTTAAGGTATTGGATCAGAAGTTGGAAATGAAGTGAAACTAGCGTCCAAATATCCGTGTGTCACCTGAACTTAAGTTCAACAGAGGTAACCGCTGGCAAACATTCCGAACTAGAGAGTACAGTGTATGTCGAACTTAAGTACAATTCGAACTACAGTACGTAAATCTAGCTAACTGTTTATTAATGTATTCTGATCCTGAACCTACGTCTATGTGGTAAGTTTGCTCCGAAACAAAACAAGACAAACAAAGCAATACACTATAATGTGAATAATATAAGAAAGAGCTTTTGTATATAATATTATGAATGTGAGAGCTAAATCCAAACTTTTATACTAGCTCAAGTTGCTACAGCTAATTTTCATGTCATCACATTCCCATGACAAGATGACGCAGTAAGTTCCCATTGATTGACCATTTAACAAAAAGACATGCACTAAAGGGGTCGAGTAGAGAAGACATGCACTAAAGGGGTCGCGTAGAGCAAGAAGCACATTTCAAAGAAAATCGTTTACATGATCGAAATGGCGGGGATGGAATCGATATCATCCATGGTGGGTATCCTGTAAAATTGTTAAAATCTTAACAAAGAACAAAAGAACAGAGGTGAACGAGGGCTACATCCGCATATCAACCAATGTGACCAAACACCACCACATCTATATCGAATGACAATTACACACACGATACAGTGTTTGTTATCAGGCATTATGGTATTCACACTAGTATTCAACATTGCTTCACAGGAAGTCACATACACATGATGTAATACAAATGTTGTTGTTTCTTTGAATAATATAGGGTCGTTCACATATATGTGAATTTTGACACCATAGCTATGTGTAAAAATAAATACGGATGGGGGAGCGAGGGGGGGGGGGTTAAAAATTGGCCAAAAACTAAAAAGTGATTACGTAATATGTGAACGACCCCTAACTCACTACAAATGATGTAATACAAAATGGCATGTTGTATGATGAATCACAAGGAAAAAGCACAGCTTATGTTTTCCTGTTACATAGTGGTTATCTAATTACATGTTTTCAGTAGGAGGTCGGAGCTGTTGAGCCCTGATCGGCTGCAGTGACCAGTCCAAACTCACTTCAATTCATGATCTCAGGGGGATTAAGCTATTTCTGGAATTAACAATTAATCAAATCAACAGTTAATTATTAGAACATGAACACAATAATCAGGATTACAAATTTGATTAGGAAGGTACAAAACGTTAAATATTTACGTCAGAAGGGGAGACTCGACTGATTTTTCCATCTAAAATAAGTCCATGGTAAAAAGATATTGTAGATAATATTATGTTAACTTTATGTTAACTACTGATTGCTTTAATTGTTTAAAAAATTTCCGAAATGACAATCTTTAAAAAAAGGTTGAAGTACCGAAAAAAACTGCAGATTTATAAACATATTATATGTAAATTGTGTTATGTAAATAAAATTAATTAGTCCGTTGTGTGTATTTCAAGCATTCATTCCAATCGGTTTCTGCTTTAAGATACAAGTAATCTACGAGTAGAGTTTACTAAAGCATAATGTACGATCCGTGCTGAAGAACTAAAGAAGTGAAACATGAAACAAATCAGGGAATCATGCTTTAAGATGCCCAGGGAGTCATTGTTCATACTTGGGCGTGTCAAGCAACGAGGAGGACGGCAACTCGACTGCTCCCATCCTAGAAAATATTGGTGAAGTGGTGAGTATTAGGGGTGGGCTCGAATAAACTACATGTTAAGACTAGATTGTTACTCCCAGCAGCTGTTATTGTTATCAACTGGAGTCGCATTCTTGTCTCGAGATGTAGTTTAATTCTGGCACACGCCCAAAATAAAGAATGCAATGAGAACAAACACAGATCAACCTTATAAAGTAGGGGATGTAATCAAATTATGAATATCATATACCGCAATTATATCTGTGACAGTCGTCATATCAAGGCTCAATTCATAAAGAAAACACTGTGAAGTTGTAGTGATTCAGATATAAAAATGTAACTTATAAAATTGATACCTGATACCGGCTAATGTGATCCCCTTAAGAACCCACTGTAACGAGAGACGGTTTCTTTATAAATAAATTAAGGAATTGGTTAACAAACCACATTTAAATAAAAACTTCGGTGTAAAACTCTTGAAGTACAGTCGTGTTATATCAATAAATAAAAACAATTTGAAGGTTTCTGGTAAAAATAAAACCTGAAATAATTTATAAATTAAAAATCCAGACATATCTATTGAAACCAACTTCCATTATCATTCATTATAAATGCACAGTAAAACTATCATAATGTATTGAATGGTTTCTTGTTTTTATAGTAAGATTGCTTCGAGAGATCTTTGTAATGGTCGGGGAAAAGCAAGGGAAGAGCATCGGTCGCTCTGCACCAAGTTTCCACATTTTCTTCAGTAATTTTAGTGAAATCATGAGCAAACAAGACATTATCCGGAACGGTTTCATCAATGATGGGAGGAAGTTTCTGGTATCTCAAACTAAAGTGAGTCAGTGCAGTGTACCTAGCCTTCATTTGTTTACCAATTTCAATGGCTTGTCCAACAGTGGAGTGCTTCTTCTTGGCTGCATCTTCTGCCAATGTGCTCTGATGTGTCGCTTCGTGAATGAGAATGTCACAGTCCTTTCCAATGTCCACAAACTTGGAGTTGGGCAGGGTGTCACCAGAATAAGCAACTTTCCAGGTTTCAGATGCTAGTGCTACGCACCAGGAGTCTCTTGTGTGCATTGCCGGGCACAAATCAATCTTAACACCATGCTCCTTGGTCAGATCATCCAGCATGGTTTTGTCTTGGTATAACTTTCCAATTGGAACCAAGTTAAGGGGTATTTTGAACACAGAACTAAGGTACTTGAACCAGGGTAGCATTCTTATAGGACAGATAATGGTAAGAGGCTTATTATTAACTTGATAATAGTATTCAGCGACTGACATTGACCCCCCACAATGATCAAAATGTATATGAGAAATGTACAGGAAGTTAAGTTTACCGATGAGCTCTTTTGTTTTGTCAGGTCCGTATAATCTGATCATCTGACCAACAGTCATCTCTCCAGCATCCAGTAAAGCACTGAAACCTTCCGAGCACAGCAGTAAAATCCCACTGACGTTTCGGAAGGTTGAGGAGTAGGTTGAGGTGGTTCCCAGAAAAGTTATGTCTGGACAGGAGAAGCCTCTTCGGAGTTTTTTGGCTGGCATCTCCGGTTTCTGATCCGCAATAAAACAATTGTAAATCTTTCTGGCAGATTCTTCTTCATTCTTGAAATTGAAGGACTTTTTGAGGATAACATTGTTTCTGTGCCAACCAGCTGACGACTTCTGGGTGGGGTACATGCTGTATTTTAATAGATGTTCAGATAGTGTAATAGAGGTTTCAGGATCTTTTGTCATGTTAGTTAAATCGGTGCTGCCTTCTTCGGTGGGTTCATATAGTTTCTCTACAGGTAGGACTGAACTCATGATAGCATTTCGCTGTGCACAATCAAAGAGAATGCGAGATAAGGGGTTTTTGCACATGAGCAGGTGATCAATATCTTTATAACTATCAATGAATTTCCTGTAATGGTCCGATACGGTGATGTCTTTGCCACTAAAGTGAACCATTAACATGAGAGTCTGTTTAGACTCATCAATCATCGCATTGAAATCGATTTTAGAAAGAACTTTGCACTCTTCATCCGATTGAGCATCGACAATGATAAAAACAGGGGCAGGTTCAACAGGATCTAACACATCAGATTTGTTAACGATCTTTCCACCAGCCAGCTCTACTGACCCCGTCTTAAACAGGGTAGCTAAAAGTTTCTTTGGAACGTTCATTTCTTTTAACTTCATTTTGTTCACGTTACCATCTTTTTGAGGAAGATAAAAAACGTAACAATTCGAACTGATGAGCGGAACAATTTTCACAGTTATACCACCAAGAATCTCTAAATCTTTTAGATTCTTTAAAACAAGGTGCCTATCACTTCCTACTTCATCAGCAAAACAATCCAGCTGAGTCGACCTCAGAAATCCATTAACATTATCAGTTCCCCATACTGTCAGGGGGTTGTGAGTTGTGTTAACGTTTTGCTGATCCCGTCTAAACAAACTAATACCAGGGATTGACGCTACTGTGTTGTAGTCAAATCTCGTTGTCAGTATGTCCGTGATATTGGATATTCTTAGCCCAGGACTCTCCAAAATCATTCTCTGAATCCCCTCTCCGGCATTGATAAGGAATCCCTTGTTCTTGGAATCGGTGAAAAGCAGTGAAGGAGATATTGCAGGGGTACCCCCTACTACTTGAATACCAGCTACTGCCATGGGGGCTACTGAATGGAGATGAGGCTCAAAACTTCCGGCAACAGAAACTTTGTAGTGTAATCTTCTTAGGGCTAGGCGAAGGGATGATAATTTCATACAGTGTTCATAAACCTAATGATGTAATGTAATTCATAACATATTATTCAACAAAATTCATGATAAGCTATTTCAGGATGAGCTAGCATATTTTGATGGTCTTCAATTATAAAGTATCTAGAACTAATGCCTGCTTTCTCTAAAGCAGAGTTGATGACACATTCTTGTAGGTATTCAGATCTCGTGAAATAGGTTTATATGTCGAATTTGGCAGCAAACAAGTAACATTCATATAACCGGTCACATACCTTTCAGATTATGGAATTATAAATTAATCATGCTTTTTCAACACAGCTGTCAGTGCAAGCATAGCAAGGATGTAGCTGATAGCATGTGAGGTCTCCTTAACACATTTATACTATGTACAAATCCAATCCAGGAAACTAAATATCACGTGACGTGGCCCCTTAGATTTGGTTGGCTACTGAGGATGTCGTTTATCAAGTTTGAGAATGCATAGTTTTATTTTTAGTACCCTTGTAATGCTAAGTTATTTGTGGTCGTTGATTGACTGTGGCTGTTTTTGGGGAGTTAACGGCGGAAATTTGATAGTTGTTTGAATTTTATGATTTCATAACTTAGATTTAAGCAGAAAATAGCAAACTCTTTAAATATAGTAAACTGAACAACCATGTAGAAGTTAGAAAGCTAGGCAGACTATGTTTGTCAAATTTCAATGTTTCATCAGATTATTGTCTTGAATGTTTACTGTAAATTAATTGAACTGCAATCCAGCTTCCTCGACAATATGGCCGACACAGAAAAGAAGGTTGATGAGGTTGAGGATGACAACATATCGGAAATGGAAGACGAACTTCCTGTTTGTTGTTTTGCATTTGATTTAATCTGCTGCCCACAGAGGTATTGGAATATTTCAAAGCGACCAGGCGAAGAAGAAGAAGAGGTTGAAGAAGAAGAGGGGAAAGAAGGCGAAGAGAAAAAAGAGGGAGAAGATGATAAAGATCAAAAGTAGGAATTCAGAAATTTAGACAGATGGCTAAATAAAATGGGTCATCATATGTTTAAATAACATGAAACATCATGTTTAACAACCCTTTACACAGAATATGTCGTTCCGAATTGAAGGATTATTTTACATGTACAGATGGAATTTTATGTTGATTTGTCCATAGATTACGCTGTCATTGTAACTAATTGTAATTGGTATTCAGGATCATATAAATCGATTATTTGACGATCCATAATTTATAGTTATGTAACGCCAATCAATTCTAAGAGTGTTGAAGCTGCAAAGGGACGTTTTATGCAATTATGAACAATGAAGTCAATGAATAAGGATGAACCAGTTCTTACTTCTTAACTATATTCACCAACAATTATAACTGTCATATTATTACATATTAAATATAAACCTATTCTAGATTTATTTACTTATTTTAAAGCGATTTACTGAATCATCATTGAATAATTGCATTCAGACATCTTCACAATCACTGATCAATTATGTTTTGAATTCTAATTAATTAACTGATAATTTTTTACTTATTCTGGATTGAGATGGTATATTAACTGAATGAAACAGGAAAATATGATTACAGATAATAATAATAAATACCTAGTATAAAAATTGTTATTTGAATTAAAAATGAATAGAAATTATTTAAAAACGAAGAGTTAAAACACAATTTGTTCCGTAAAAACAGCTGTCTTGATAAAAACATTACTGTCACTGCTATTTCAAATGAAATTCCTGATATAAAAGTTTGTACAGTTTCATTTTTCCATAAAAAACAAACTGTATACATTAACACCAGCTAACAGCGCAACATCAAAACAAATTCATACCCACTAGAGGAAACAAACACATAACATTAAGCCCAATAGAAGCACTTAAAAAGTAATGTGACGGCCCTGGACCTGCCCCCAACGAACTGTCACTCCGAATATTTCTCACCAAAATACCCTGGAATGCAAAATTCCCACCATAATTATCATACGAGTCTTGTAATCCCAGTGAAAAGAGAAAAGAAGCAATACAGAGCGACGTGAGAGAGCTACACAGCCCAAACCTGGCAACAATGTCCCACTGGCAAAACCCATCAGCAGCGTTCAAATAATGCACTCTGATACCCATCAGCACTGACACAAGGGTTATTATCTGCACTAACACCGCGAAACAAACCATGATCAGTGTGTAACTGAAGTATTCTGAGATAACCTGACTTAGACATACCCCGTCTGTGCAGACGCGGGATAGCCCCTGAGTTGTGATGCTGTCTAGGTTGCGGTGGTATACCCAGCGGGGGAGCGCTAGTGCGCTGATGCAGAGTGAGATTGAGGCGACGTTGAGGATGGAAGTGATACTGAGGCGAGCTAGCAGGTACCCCATGCTGTTGTTAGAGTATCTTGTTCATTATTTTCGTACCTAAAGATGAAGTTACTTGTAAAGATGAAGTAGTTTTGGTGAGCCGGGCGGTGACCTTATGATTATAGATCTGGTTACTGGGAGGGAGCCGGAAGGTAGACCTAAGTTTGTTCGGGAACGTGACTGGTAACAACAGATATACAATCGGCTTACAGCACTGACCAATCAAGACTCAGAATCAGTTTCCATGCTCACCTCCTCATCAGTATACAGATCTTTATAAATCTCACATTTATTTTAGGTGATTACAGGTGACAATCATGCTTTGTAAACCCAAAAATACCCAGTTTTAGCCTCATAGGACATGATTTTTACTGATCATCAACGACAAGATTTTGAATTTAGAACACAATCTTAGGCTTCACCACACATAATATTTTGAAAACGTTGCCGTTGTTAAAAACAAGCAGTTCTTTAAATTTTGCAGAAGTATGTTCTAATTCGACATTTTTTTCCAAAATTTGGTGGCACTTAGACAGTTAGACACTGCCGAAAATAGTAACAATTGTTTGCTTTCTTTTACTCGTCTTTGACAATTCTGCGTGTACCAGACAGATTGTTGATAGTCTCCAGGGAAATATACTGTTAACTGTTCTAAACGATATAATGAAATTAGATGATATAAACCCAGGTACAACATGGTTCTAAGAAATAATGAGCGAATTGTGTAGTGTACTATGATGAAAGCTATAATTAAATTTACAATCTTACATTTAAATTTACAATCTGAATACTTTCCAACTGACAAAATGAATCAGTGAGAATATGATTAATATTATCATGAGAAAAACCATAAGTTGAAAATTCAAAATATTACCAACTTCAAATTATTCAAATTATTAAAAAACGAAATACATCGGAAATGTAGAAACAAAATTGACCAAATATTAAATAATTGTATCTCTCAAGTGTTTAATAATTGAAAATTTATAGTTATGACTATGTACAATTCATTAAACTTATAAATACCAGTAAAAATGTGTCCATAAAATTATGAATAAAGCAAGACAGTATCGGATGTCTCTAACAGCTAGGAAATAAACTTGGTCCTATTTTTTGAGCCAATCAAATAAATGTGCTTGTAAAACTTCAGTAGTCCATTTACATCAATTTTCTCAATCACGAGAACATTATTACCTGTTCTGCTAATACCGTGCAATATTTCTGACGAAAATGAGTCTACTGTCTGAGTTGAGAGGGTTGGGTGTGATACTGTTAGAGACGATCTGTTGTCGGACAATGTTGGGCAGCTCTCTGAAGTATCAGAGCTGCTATTATAAAACTTTTCTATCTGATCCCGAAAGTTAACCATTCTTTTTCTGAGGATTAAGTTTGGTTTCATGGCCACGAGCGCTGTGGCAACTTTCTGCAAATTTACTCCGGAGGGATGTTTCTGAAAATGTTTAACCATTTGGTTTAAAACTTTGATTATAACTCATTAAACGGTCGATCAAAGGATTTTTATGACACGTACTAAAAAACGAGATACATGAACTGAGAAAATTAATATCGTGATATATTTATAGAGCTATCAAAACAAGTTTATATCAAGAAATTACCTTCATAGAAGCCTTAAACAAGAAATCATCATTGCAATCGAATATAGTTGAAAAGAGCCCATTTGTCCCTTCCCTAGAGTTGAGATAGGATGTCACAGAAACAGAGCACGGTACATTCCTGGGAAGGAGGACCACAGGTATTCTTGATGAGAATACTTGGCGAGTAGCTTCAATGTCCGTCTGAAAACAGAATTTTATGTGGTGAGTGGTCCACAATCCACATGATGTTGAGGTAAGACTTGAGTTGTTCGAGACAAAATGGTTGCAAATCAAATACAAGTAATTATAGGAAATAAACTTACCTTGAAATTCCAGGAAGAAATAATCTGCCGACCATTAAAACCGTCACTAGCACAAACCACCCTCTTGACATTCCTCTGAAACTTCCTGTTTAGCTGCAGAGCCACTGCAACATTAGTCAGCGGGCCAAGACAGACAACTGTTACTTTGTGAGGAAACTTCTCGCAAATATGAGCCAGGCAGTGTGCAGGAGCCGCTATTCCTGAAGATGTCCTTCGTACCACGGGAATGTCAAACCGTCCTATCATGGACAAAATTCTCAGAGTCTCATTGTACGCTTTGGTCAGGGAAACGTCCTCGTTTCCAGTGAGAGTCACACAAAGCACGGAGGAGTATTCGAGGAGGAATAGGATCGGTTGAAGGTCTAAGGAAGTGGTGTTGCAGTCGATTATTATGTATCCGTGTTTCTGGGAGGACATCACTCCTTAATAAAACAGTCGGTTAGCGATTTTACAACAGATCTTTTAAGTTATTCGGTAACTTTAAAGGTAAGTAAGGAGCTTATTTTGATAAAGTCAGTAAAGATAAAATAAAAAACAATCTGATTACAAAGTTAAAACTGAATACAAAACAAAACAACATGAAACCAAAATAAAGATCAACAGCAGAAAAATACCGATAAAGAAATAAAAAACCCTGCCCAAATTTTAAGAAAAATCATAAGAAAAAGCTAAGTACAAAAGAATCATTATCACCAACATAATCTAATATCTCGCTCAATTTCAGATCGATTCGAGAGTGACCCCTAGTAACTCCACACAATCTAGACCATGGTACGGATTCACCTCTTCTAGCTATAAACCAGTACAATGAGGCCCTCCCACTGTCAATAAACATGGGTTCTTCTCTCTGAGGGTTGATGGTGATCATAACCCCAGCGGTAGCGATGTGACATGCTGAGATAGTGCTACTGCACACACATTCGTCCATGTCTGGGGGGCAGCCACACACTTCCGTTGAGTTGGTGTATTTGAAGAGTTTGAGAGGCATTGAAACAGTGAACTCACGGTAATCCATCTCCAGCAAGTTCTGAAAATGGTGTATTACTTTTATAACGCCATATTCTTACACAACAAAACTTAGAAGAGAAAGTGTCACATTATCCAATACACACCCACACACACACACACACGCTCCATAAGAATCCATAAGAATCAGATGTAAGCTGTAAAAGATTTCACATGAACTAACCTGCGTATAAAAACATGTCCTGACACCCGTGTACTTTTCAGTTGCGTTCTCCTCTGGTGAGTCTGTCTTGACAAAGTATGTAAAAGGTTTGACTGTCATGTTAGGTAAGAAGTTTGGTAACGTACTCTTTGTGAGATGATGCAGACACGGGGAGACAAAGTTAGTAAGGAAGGAGTGGGGAAGGTATTTGTATTGGATTAGTTTTAAAGTTTGGTCTACAGAGGGTTGATCTAGATCTGTCTGGTGCTCCAACCACGTAATCAGAGCTAGTACTTGTGCTGGCACTGAGAACGTTGAGCGCTCTCCTGAGATAACCTGCCAACAAAATTAAGAAAAGTTAGAATTTGAGTTCATTTTGTATTCAGAATGTGGCATCATATTAGTTTTTTTTTAAAATAATAGTACTTTACCTATTGTCATTTGGGCAGATTACTATTCTAGTATAGCAAGTAGAATTTTCAGTAGAGTAACTTTAAATAGCATACACAACTCGAACTCAGGGTTCATTGAAATTCTCACACTTTCCCTACCTTCAATACGAATTGAATGTCTGCAGATGTCCATAACTCGTCTTTATACACTTTCCATAGATAAGAATATCGGGATAGGACCTGGTTAGAAGTTAAAATCTTAATTTGATATTTAGGTTTCTGTTTCTTAACATGATGAACATTAAACTGCATTGAATCATAGCATTAAATTGCACTGAAATGGGTTTAAAGGCTTGGCAATCACAACTATCTAAGCTATTTAAGTAAAGTTAGATGGAATTCATTATGCCAACCTTAGCACATCGATCAAGAAGCAATTTGCTTGGCAAAGTTCGACCCAATTCTAAATATTGATGAATAGTGTCCATGGAGACATTCATAATATCGACACAGATTTCCTGAAACGGAGTCATTATAATATAATCAAATTATGATCACACTTCACGAATAGTGTCAATTTGAATTAACAATAACCAATATACTTTATGACAACATGCTCATAAAACTGCGAAGGTAGACATAGTCAGACTTGTAAGAAACTGAGCAAAGATTAATGAGGTCTAATGCTTCTTGTGGGCCAAAAGGAAAGGAAGCTGAAGTTGGTCAACTGTCAACTACATTCGACTAATCTTAAATGTAGGTGTTAGTAACAATAGCAGGTTATAAGATAGCACCCATAGAGTCTGATCAATTTGAAATCAAAGATAAATCACAGGCTTGCTCACTATCACACCTCTAGAGTCTCACTTCGCACTTTACACGCTATTTCTAGGAATTCTAGTGCATTTCTTGGTCGCACTGAGTCCCCTAATGTTGTAGCACATCTAATGAAAAAGTATTACATACAAAGTAAGTATACACTATACATGCAAAAAATATACAACATGAATGAGTTAGGATAAACATTCTGACTAATGAAAGATAAAACGTATAAAACAGTACACTTTTTAAAGTGGCTATTAATATTTTTAACTTTATGATATCTCAAAAATTGGGTAGCTGTAAAACAAATTGTGATTTAATTCACACAATTTTAACTTCATTAAGCTTAAAACCTTTTCTCAATCCAGGGTACACCATACTCAACACTGAGCATCAGCAAAAATTGAATGTTAGCACTGTCTAGGTTGATTGTTCCTGAAAAATAATTCATCCATTTTAACATGGGTAAATTACAAATAAAAACTAGACATCACTGCAAACAATATACATACATATTCATTTCATAACAACTGATACAACCGAGGTCAGTCCTGGAGTTTCACTTTTAGACGTGTCTTATTACTTTTTGTGCCATAAATATGAAATTTAAAACCAGACTTGCTTTAAATATAATGATACATATTTGATTTTATTACCATCATAGAGAGATCTAAGGAAAGACTTCATCTCCCTGCTGAAGTCATAATTTTCCAAAACAATTGTATTGTGGTGATCTTCTCCATTTTTGAAAGCAGCAGCAAACTTTGGACTCTAAAAGCACACAAGTATTTGATCAATATGGATGGGGTTATACCTTAGGAGATTCGAGAGATGTTCAGCATTAAAAACCTACCTACTTTCACAAGTAATTTCAGTTTAACACACGTTATTCTTATTTTTATCATTAAATTGATTCGGTACTTCCCTACATTTGCAATTGTGAACTGTTTTAAAGTCTTTGTTATACTGATTTTTTCATACTGTTTTTTTTTATAGTTTATGAACAAATTTACCTGAGCAAGAATTATCTTGTGGAGATAAAGAGGTTCATCATTTATGACCATAGTGATGTCGCTAAATGTAGGATTATTGAAGAAAAGATGAACCAGAGACGACACATCCATGGGCTTCCTTCAACTTCCAACTGTTCTATGTTCCATTAATCCCCTTCAAATTGGGAAACATCATTATTTTGTGTGATTATTGACTTGTCAAAAAAGGTCAGCACTTATGAGTAATTGTATTGTGCAAGTGATTTCAATCGGGTGTAATAAAAATAGAGTCTAAAAATCAATATTCTACAGTATTTGAGTGATCACCTTGAAGGGGGGGGGGGGGGGGGGGGGGCAGGGGGGGGGTCTTTATGAAATTTCTCTCGAAATTGATTTTATAATTGTTTCTGATAGAGGGGATCTAATTTTGGAAGAGACTGTACTTAGTGTCATGTCAGTATTTTGAAGTAGGCCTTTAAAATTTTGTATTTGATTTTGAAAATCTTGGAAAAGGGCTGTTAATTTTCAAGTAAAATAAATGAGCTTTAACAGAGGAAAACATTTTTAGAGCATGAACAATTTGAACATAAAATATTGATACCCTGATTGACTGCAAACCCTGATATACTGCGGCTTTTCTCTTTCTCCAAAAAATTGCAGTAAATCAGGGTATTATTATCAAACATGTCTATCTTACAAATGTCAACAATCCTAAAATAATTTAGAACCTAAACGTGATCCTTTGTAAGATTATATGTCCCAAAAGTCAAATTGACTTGTACTCAAGTATAAAATCGAACAATTTACTCCAATAACCACGGTCACTAGCAAGTAAATCAGGGTATTACTGTATGAGGAAAAGAGTAGTGTGGAGCACATTTGAGAGGACTCTCTTTGACTTGCGCATTTTCAATCCCAAATCGCCAACATATCAAGGAAAGACCATGCAACAGCTCTACACTCTGCACGAGAATGAGATAAAGAACCAGTACATGAACCGAGTGCTACAATTGGAGAAAGGGTAATTTGTCCCCCTTGTATTTACCACTACAGGAGGAATGGCACCTGAGGCCAAGCGTTTCATAAGGAGACTTGCTGTGTTAGTAAAGTAAAGTAAATTCAAAATTATGACATAACATCATCACACATGTCTACAAAGGATCAAATCATTATATATATGGAAAAATATAAATATCTTACCACCAAAATTGATAAATTATTAACTATAGCCAACGTCCTTGCGGTGCCGAGCTGATGTAAAACTCTTCTGTCTCTTGTTAATATTTTAGTTGTACTGTGCATAAAAGTGTGTAGTACCAAGTGTGTAGTGGTTTGATTATTGAAATAAATTTTCGTGCACATACAGAATGAATGGTTAATAATTTAATATATAATATATGTAGACCAAGGTCTGTGCACGGGATGCTTCCTGGAAGAATCCAGTTCTTTTAGCGGGGCACCCTACCTAAAGCCAAATTGAGATATAATAATCATATTCCTAGAGAAATAATCAGAAATCGTATACCAATCAAATAATATGATATATAGGAGTAGTAACCATATTTACTATGCAAAATGCCCCAACCACATAGTGTAAATTTATGTAGAATTCAAATTCCATATCATCATTAAACCTCAATAGTCAATATAATAGCCCAAGCAAAATTAAATAACTTCTTATATACCTTACTGTCATACTACAAATTAATTAAACATTTGAAATCTGTTAACCAGAGAATAAATTTCTAAACCTAATGCAAGTGAAATAATTTAGATGCAATAATGAATGCCTAATGTGAGTATCATCTGTCAATGTCCTTGTAAAAAAGTCTGTAAAAGAGATATGAGTAACTAATATAGAAGAAAAAACAGGAAGTTGTCGTCTGTTGAAAAATAAATAAAATATCTAGAATATAAATTAGAATATAAAACAACATTCAGTCAAAGTGTCGTCAATAAACTGTACAATTATCAAATGTTAAAACTGGGTGATACAGTCACCAAAAATAAATACTAAGTATAATAAGTAAATAAATTAAATGTGGTCTATAAAACTACCACTAGGTATAATAGGTCAATAAATTAAAAGTGGTTTATAAAACTACCACTGTGCGAACCCTTTCTCCAGTTAAAACATGTCAGTCATGTGCAAAATCAATCAAAATGGTAAGGTGGTAAAAAAGGGAAAATCCTTTCGATACATCAATTATATATGCCTCAGATTTAAAAGAATTAGAAGATACTTAGTTATCGTCGACTATGATTGCAGTGTAAAATTTGTCATATGACAATGTATATTTAATATTAATGTAATGTATATTATTTATTATGACGACGTGATATTTATAATGCAGAATTAAAAGCTGCTTTCGATATGACTGGTGGTGGGCTCTCTCCGGCGGGACTAAGGTTTTTTTTTTACATATTTGATAGATTTACAGATCTGGCTTGACAAAAATTTTCAGAAAAAATCATGTTCGCGGGAAGCAAAAATCCGATGAGTTTTTTAGGGGGGAGGGGTAGGGGGTTGAGGGGGGTTGGGAAGGGTTGTCACATGACGAGAAATTTTTTGCAAAAATTAAACAATCTTTATTTGTTGATATTATTCACCCCTGTTGCATAGAATGGTGGGTCTGCACTTGAGAAGAGTGAGTCTGGCCGCTAGAATGGTGGGTCTGCAATCTAGAAGTGGGTCTGGCAACCAGAATGGTGGGTCTGCAATCTAGAAGTGGGTCTGGCAACCAGAATGATGGGTCTCTACCCTTAAAGAGTGGTCTGTTAACCAGAATTGTGGGTCTACACCCTTGAAGAGTGGGTCTGACAACCAGAATGGTGGGTCTGCACTTGAGAAGAGTGGTTCTTTCGGCTGGAATGGTGGGTCTGCAATCTAGAAGTTGGTCTAGCAACCGAAATTGTGGATCTGGATACGAGAATAATGAGTCTTCACTCTCTAGAAGAGTGGGTCCGGCAACCAGAGTGGTGGGTCTGCACTTGAGAAGCGTGGGTCTGGCCGCTAAATGGTGAGTCTGCACCCTTTAAGAGTGGGTCTGACAACCAGAGTGGTGGGTCTGGACTTGAGAAGAGTGGGTCTGGCAGCTGGAATGGTGGGTCTGCAATCTAGAAGTTGGTCTGGCAACCAGAATGGTGGGTGTACATACACCCTTGAAGAGTGGGTCTGACAACCCGAGTGGTGGGTCTGGACTTGAGAAGAGTGGGTCTGGCAGCTGGAATGGTGGGTCTGCAATCTAGAAGTGGGTCCGGCAACCAGACTGGTGGGTGTACGTACACCCTTGAAGAGTGGGTCTGACAACCAGAGTGGTGGGTCTGTACCCTTGAAGAGTGGGTCTGACAACCAGGGTGGTGGGTCTACACTTGAGAAGAGTTGGTCTGGCAGCTAGAATGGTGGGTCTGCGATCTAAAAGTGGGTCTTGCAACCAGAATGGTGGGTTTGCTTTCTTGAAGAGTGGGTCTGACAACCCGAGTGGTGGGTCTGGACTTGAGAAGAGTGGGTCTGGCAGCTGGAATGGTGGGTCTGCAATCTAGAAGTGGGTCCGGCAACCAGACTGGTGGGTGTACGTACACCCTTGAAGAGTGGGTCTGACAACCAGAGTGGTGGGTCTGCACTTGAGAAGAGTGGGTCTGGCAGCTAGAATGGTGGGTCTGCAATCTAGAAGTGGGTCTGGCAGTTAGAATGGTGGGTCTGCAATCTAGACGTGGGTTTGGCAACATGAATGGTGGGTCTGCACCCTTCAGGCTTAAAGAGTGGGTCTGACAACCAGTGGTAGATCTGCACTTGAGAAGTGTGGGTCTGGCAGCTGGAATGGTGGGTCTGCAATCTAGAAGTTGGTCTGGCAACTAGAATGGTGGGTCTGCACCCTTCAGGCTTCAAGAGTGGGTCTGACAACCAGAGTGGTAGATCTGCACTTGAGAAGAGTGGGTCTGGCAGCTGGAATGGTGGGTCTGCAATCTAGAAGTTGGTCTGGCAACCAGAATTGTGGGTGTACGTACACCCTTGAAGAGTGGGTCTGACAACCCGAGTGGTGGGTCTGGACTTGAGAAGAGTGGGTCTGGCAGCTGGAATGGTGGGTCTGCAATCTAGAAGTTGGTCTGGCAACCAGAATGGTGGGTGTACGTACACCCTTGAAGAGTGGGTCTGACAACCAGAGTGGTGGGTCTGCACCCTTGAAGAGTGGGTATGACAACCAGGGTGGTGGGTCTACACTTGAGAAGAGTGGGTCTGGCAGCTAGAATGGTGGGTCTGCAATCTAGAAGTGGGTCTGGCAGTTAGAATGGTGGGTCTGCAATCTAGACGTGGGTCTGGCAACATTAATGGTGGGTCTGCACCCTTCAGGCTTAAAGAGTGGGTCTGACAACCAGTGGTAGATCTGCACTTGAGAAGTGTGGGTCTGGCAGCTGGAATGGTGGGTCTGCAATCTAGAAGTTGGTCTGGCAACTAGAATGGTGGGTCTGCACCCTTCAGGCTTCAAGAGTGGGTCTGACAACCAGAGTGGTAGATCTGCACTTGAGAAGAGTGGGTCTGGCAGCTGGAATGGTGGGTCTGCAATCTAGAAGTTGGTCTGGCAACCAGAATGGTGGGTGTACGTACACCCTTGAAGAGTGGGTCTGACAACCCGAGTGGTGGGTCTGGACTTGAGAAGAGTGGGTCTGGCAGCTGGAATGGTGGGTCTGCAATCTAGAAGTTGGTCTGGCAACCAGAATGGTGGGTGTACGTACACCCTTGAAGAGTGGGTCTGACAACCAGAGTGGTGGGTCTGGACTTGAGAAGAGTGGGTCTGGCAGCTGGAATGGTGGGTCTGCAATCTAGAAGTTGGTCTGGCAACCAGAATGGTGGGTGTACGTACACCCTTGAAGAGTGAGTCTGACAACCCGAGTGGTGGGTCTACACTTGAGAAGAGTTAGTCTGGCGGCTAGAATGGTAGGTCTGCGATCTAAAAGTGGGTCTTGCAGCCAGAATGGTGGATCTGCACTTGAGAAGAGTGGGTCTGTCAGCTGGAATGGTGGGTCTGCAATCTATAAGTGAGTCTTGCAGCTAGAATAGTGGGTCTGAAATCTAGAAGTGGGTCTTGCAACATGAATGTGGGTCTGCACCCTTAAAGAGTGGGTCTGGCAATCAGAATGGTACGTCTACACTCTAGAAGAGGTGGATTTTCGCCCTAGAAGGGT